AGCATGAATCCTAAACCCAAACCCTAGACCCCTAGACCCCTTAACCCTAGACCCCTAAACCCGAAACCCATAAACCTCAGACCCCTAAACCCTACCATAGACCCCTAAACTCGAAACCCCTAAGCCCTAAACCTTAAACCCCCTATAAACCCTAAACAACCTTAAACCCGAAACCCCTAAGCCCTCAACCCAAAACAAGCGTCAAACAATCCAACTTCGAGAGCCTTTTGAGTCCAAGGCCCGGACGGCACGCGACATTTTCAACTCTGGCGACTGGTGCACGTCAGGGCCTTCGAGTGGAGGGTTTAGAGCTTAGGGCTGTCACAAGGATTTAGGGGTCTGGGGTTTAGGTATGCGTTTGGGTTTAGGGGTTAGGGGTTTAGGGTTTTAGGGCTTTTAAGGTTCAGAGGGAGCGGAGAGCTTCTGGGGGCTTTAAGATTTGGGGGTTTGGGGCTGGGGGCGCTTTCCTGCACAGCTGCTGACATTCTGTGCAAAGACGGCCCACCTCACACCAGGGCGTGTGGGTGGCGGCACATCGTGCGATGTCGTGCATGGAGCGGTTTTGCTTGTGCATTGGGACAGAACTTGGTGAAAACGCAGGTTATAGTAAGATAATGCAAAGGTGAAACCGCGGCCGCTCCTGACAGTTGTAGCTATTATTCGGATAGCGCTGCAAGAGGAACCTTGTGATGCTTTCCGAAAGTTGGGCGTCCACAGAAATAGGGTTTGGGTTCCCGGGGTTCTGGATAAGCCTTACGTCCAATAAACAGGTTCTCGAACTCATCCATGTAGAATACGAGTCACTGAGTCAAAAATCCTAAAGTCTCGAACTTCTAAGGCAGTTCTTGCGATGAGATACAGGGTGGTGCAGAAAGCAAACAGCATCGTTCTTCACGTCGCGACGATCCAACATCTTACGAGCTCTTTGATGCAAGATCGTAACTACTCAGAACCCAAAAGCCCTTCATCCTAGGGTTTCGTTCTTCAGCCCAAACCCCAAGCCATGACTCCCAAGCCTTGAGCTCAAGCAAGGCCAGACTACCTCTTCGATACGTACCAACACTTCGAGGCCCGAGTCGCACAACCGGGGGCTTTGCTAATTAGAAAGCGGCTTGGGAGCGTGTAAGGTTTACAGTGTTGAGGGTGCAGTGTAGTATAGTATTGTACAGTGTAGTTCAGTTTACTATGGCATGGTATGATATGGTCATATTTGGTAGACAGCAACCTACTACTTAACTTGAGTAACTGGAGGTATAATTAACGGTAAGCAGCAGATATTCTCGGCCTCGAAGAACTTGCTGTGTGGTACCTTGGACATGTAGGGAAAAGCCAGATCCCAGAAGCACGACCAAATAGTCCTCGGGGCTGCATTGCCCAAAGCCCGCAACTTCAGACGATCAGCCTTGCTTTTTAATTCCAGTCCGCGAGATCCAAACCCTTACCTCTAGTACTCTAGTCTGAATGAATATCGTGGAACCACGGTTCAAGGCACCACAATCCCGGGCTATGGACCCCACTGATGGCGTGTGAGGTAGAGTGTTCTCAGACTTTATACGCCAAAACCTTTTAAGTTCGAACTGCTAAGGCCCGCATATGAAGCAGTATAAACCTTATAACCACAACACCGCCTCTCCCTCAAGGACTTCAAGGCCCGAATTGGCACAGGGGCCTAGGCCCTAAGCCAACCTTGCCTAGTGTGTCTTCCCAGCAGCGATTATTCAGCACGCGAGTCCATGTTTTTGGGCTTGCATCTTTTTCTTCATACTCTGTTTCGTACCCTGCAAGGTGTAGGTTCCTGATTGACAAGCCCGCCTTTTCTTATCAAACACAGGAGGCTTTTTTCATGGTCCGGGATGCACACCCTAAACCCTAAACTGCTTAGTGTGGTAGGAGGATGGTGTCGAGGCTTCGTGGGTTCAGGGTGTAAGGGCTTAGGGTTTAAAGGCTTGTATAGCCAGATATGAAGGATTCAAAGCCCTAAGGGTCCATGTACCTATATAGTATATAACTTTGGCCTAACTAAAGTAGTCCTCATATAAATACTTTTGGGGCCAAAGTATATACTATCTGGGTACGTGGGCCTCCTACATCCAAAATCACTGCTGGATGGCTGCAGGTTCTGTCAGAGAAGTGCCTCATCGACAGGCCATCTCCTGGATGCTTTCTGCTGGTTGTCCTTTCGGCCAAGTCTCGATTGCAAACCCTAAACCCACAAACTGCGAACCCCTAAACCAAAACCCTAAACCCTAAACCGTTTAACCCTAAGCCAAAAGCCATGTGGATCGAGACTCGGCATAAAGGCAGAAAGGCCAGTTCAGGTTTCGGTGTTCTTTTGAGTTTGTACAACTCTGACCGGACTTCGGTTCCGCCGTTGTGCGTAAGAGTTCTCCAGGGTCGTGGGGAGCTGCAAGCACTCTCTCGCCGCAAACTCGGAGGTTCGTTCTAAATTGGGGTCGGTCGTGCACCTCAGCTTTACGACAAGTTCCCGAAAATCCTAAGCTAGAGCAGCCTCACCATAAGGATCCAAAGTACCTATATCATGTAGTAGAATGTAGGGTTTCTTGATTGGAAATATTATGGTGATTTGGGGAAGTATCCCCCATAGCAGTACCTACCTCTAGTTTCCATTGTAGTTCCTTTTTGGATTAACTAGCTTTATAAGTAGGCTTCTATAAGGTAACCCCCAAAAGGAACTGCAATGGAGACTACAGGTAGGACCCGTTGCCTTTTGGTATTGCCCCTCAGTAACAGCTGGATACTCTTTATAACATAGATATATTAAGCCCTTAATAGTAGCCCTATTATAGACTGTTACTGTAGGGGGCCGTACCCAACGTTGCTTCATGTGGCAGGCCAAACAGCTGCCACTTCTCGGCCATTCCTGGGAAGCTCGTTCCCTACGCGTATTGGGCCGGCGCCTCTCTCTGGGCTCAGACAAGCCGGGCAGCTGCAACCTTGCATCTAAAAAAGGGGCCTAGATATATAATTACCTATACTATGTTAGGGGGTTCCTTATTCTAACTACAGGGTTTAACCCTATTCGAATTATCAAGTCCCTTACATTCAACTACATTAAATCTTGGGAGCATGCAACCTGAACTCCTCGGTTAGTGCCTTAGTGCTCCAAATAGAGGCTAGAGTAATCAGCAGGAGTATCCCATTGTGGTCCGTGTACACAATAACGACAATCGACCCCTAAAACCCTATTTTGGTGTTCAAGGCCCGTGTAGGAAGCCCGCTTAAATCTAGACCTCGAGACATCGACCAAGGACATCGCCAGCAACTGAAAGCTCTGCAGCTTTAACGGTCTAAGCACAACCGAAATGGCTCAATTAGACTTTCCAGCGAAGTTCGTTTTTCGTGAATCAATGGTTTGGATAGGTCATGATAGGACCTGCATGATACTAGAGACACCAGGTATGCAACATCATAGCCACATTCCCAAAGGGTCCAAAGTAACGATATAGTAGAATGTAGGGTTTCTATATTAGGAATTACTGTTATGATTTGGGGAAGTATTCCCCATAACTGTACATAGGACCCTTTGGGATTGGGGAAGGCTAGGAGCAGCCGTCCGTGTGACCCAAGGTGACGTACACACTCTTCGTGTCGATCATGGTGATGAACCTCGTGATAGCCGTGATTTTGGAGAGCTACGAGGTCCAGCCCTCAGGTTTATTCGAAGTCTCCATGTAGCTCTTTGGCCTTATAGAATACATACATATAGGGCCCCTTCTATAGGTATGTGATATTATTAGGAGAGGCACTGTGTATCGCGAAATATCGCGAAGCTTCCGGATTTTGACTGTCGTGCTGAGAGAGAAGTCTACGTACTTGGGCTGCCAAGCTGAGTCTATAGGGGCTGCGCCCACGGGCGGGCAGTGCAAGCGGAAGCCTGGAGCAAGGCCACGCACCAGCCCTCAGCCAAACTCCGCTGATGCTGATGATGCGCGCCCCTTGGGGGCTTCCGCAACCCTTTCAAAAAATTAGCAAAACATGGCCTCACCCTGCAGGGCCGGTTGCGGGCGCCCGCGTGCTCATGATGCTCGCCGGCTGGCCTTGTGGAATGCTGCGGGCGACCCCCCGCCCCGGTAAAGCCTGACACGCGGGATTTTGGTGTGTGTGTGAGGAGGGAAAAAAGGAGATCGTAAATTCGACGACCCCCGTGAAGACACTATGCATCCATAAATACTGGGACATTTGGAGTCTTTGGATTCTAGGACACCCAACAAAGAGGATCCGAGCCTCCGCTGCAAAGCCGGGCCTGCAACCCATAAGGCTCAAACGTGTGACGCACGAAGCACCGAGAGCGCAATTTGAAGAGCCTTCAGCCCCAAGAGGGGAATACAATAAATTAGCGGGGTCCGAACCTCCACCTGAACGGTTGATGATATAAATCCTGCATTACCCATAATAAGGAATAAACCATAATTCCCATGGTTTTGGGTCCTTAAGGTAATGCAGGATTTATATCATCAACAGAAGTAGTGGAGCTTTTGCACCAACTACAAGTAAGTAGTCAAGTGCCCGCTCAGCCTTAACCCGACATCCTAGCCCCTAAAGCCTAAACCCTAGCCCCTAAACCCTAAACCATTACTTCTCAAAACAGAGCCAGCCCTGGTTTTCAATGATCATGCCTTCCGATGTTTTAGTCGCCTCCGAACCCCCCTGGGAAGAATTTCAAAGTCCACAAACTCCTCAGAAAGACGTGCTGTCACGCTTACTACACCAGCTCTGCGGTACTTCAGGCCGAGTCGGGATTAGGCAAGGTTTGCACTAAACCCCAACTCGAAAGCCTACACTCTACATGTTGGATTTAGGATGCGGATTTGGGGCTTAGGGTTTAGGATCTAGGGTTTAGGAATTATAAGTATAAGATCTTCTAGGGTCGAGGGTTGATGGAGACATGCAGCCACCTACTGTACTCTACAGGTCTTCAAGTGTCTGGACCCTACATGTAATTGTGAGATATTGTGAGGCTCACGGATAGGACCTAGATGATGGAGAGTCCTGAAACTGTTCCCGCAGCAGATCGGGGGCCACCTCACTCGCATGCAAAGGAGGGTAAGGGCGAGAAGGAAACGGAGATCCTGGAGTACTGCTTGAAGGTGGGAGCACATTTCCACGAGCCCGTCTACTAGAGATCAGGAGATCAACTTATAAGATGGTTCTGGGTCCATAAAACCCTCTGAAAAGGATAACTCCCTTTTTCTTCGTATGCTTTATGTAGACCTACAATGTAGACTACAGACTATTGTGTTTCTTTCGGTTACTTTATGAGTTAACATCTTATTTTGGGGTCCTAACTACAAAATAAGAAGCTACTAGACAGTGATTGCATCCTAGCGCCGAGGTTGGGTCTTGCAGTTGCAGAGGGTCTGAGGATGTCTCTCACTCCGCAAGCTGTGCACTGGTAGGTCTGAAGAGCTATGTTCATCGTATGCAAACTACGATAGCAGGAATTTGAGTCTGGGAAACTACATTCTGGGGCTCCTTGAACAACTCCACACAGCGACACAGCGGAGCGCGACTTCGAGCCAAGCCGCTAGGCCCAGACTTCCACCCTATTACAGAAACCAGATAGACCAAAAGGTAATGTCTATGCATCTCAAGATTTACACTCAGCCCCCCAAAGCCACCAATTCTGAACCCTAAACCGACTGTTATGCTTCACCCTGACAACTTCTGTCTGATCCGACACCGGAGACAACTACGGGTACATGTTCATCGTAAGACCCTGCAGGCAGTTCATGAAAAGCGTATAACCCCTGAGTCCTGAAAGGGGCCCTCTATGTGTGTGTACATATATATATATATATATATACATATATACACAGCCTGCAGGTACACGCCCCAGGTCCGGGTATTCCTAGACATTCATTCCGATGAAGGACAAAGCATATACTATACAGATACATGTGGTACATGATCCGTATACTAGCCTTACAAAGCTCAAACATGTTCCAAAAAAAGTCTGCTTAAAGCCTACTAAATCCTTACAGAGTACACCCCAAAACCTTGCATTCCGACCTGGCTTCAGTTGTGGAAAGAGCGCGATCCAGATCTGACGTTGCAGTGGCCTCGGAACGAGACGGCTTACAGGGGTTTGGGGTTTAGCGTTTAGGGCTTAGGGGGCTGTTAGGATTTCTCGAGGGGTTTATAATTAGGGACTAGGAGTACAGGGACACAGGGTTTTGAGGTTCAGGGACTAGGGAGCAGGGTTTGGGGTGTCAAAGGTGAGGGTTTGGGATTTCGGTGGCTTTCTCGGAAACCTATAACTGTTCACCTTCCAGTCACCCCCCTAAACCCTAAACCCTAAATTCCAGTCTAGTCTAGTGAACTCCCCTTGGAATCATGGTGTCATAGAACTTCGCGAACTCAAGACCCTGAGTCCCGAGCCCCTACTTGAAGGGTCAGGGGACTTAGTAACCAGGGTTGTAATAAAGGAAACCATACTTGTAATTAGTTATATCTCCAATTAGGGTACTTACAACCTTACTTACTAAGTCCCATGATCCTTCAAGTAGACCCTAAACCCTAAACCTTATAGATCCCTTCAAGGAACCCTATAATTATATCCCTTTAAGGTAAGACCACGACATGAACCCTTAAGCCCTGAACCCTGATTGAGTGAAGACCGCGTCTCTGTCCAGGCGACTGCCGATGGCTGAAGCCGTGGTTTACGTGACCGATGTCTGGGCCTCGGAGTGGAAGATGAGAGCCAGGACCCTCCTTGTACCTTCAAATAAGGGTACAGGGCCCCAAATAGTGGGCATTTAGGGTCTAATAGAGGGTAGATGGAGGGTCTAGGAAGGTTATGGGCTTTGGGCTTACTTTAAATGTTTACGGTTTGAGATTTGGGGGTTTAGGGTTTAGGGTTTTTAGGGTTTGGGGTGTAGGGTTAGACGGCAAGATACTAGCAGAGGCCTGAACATGTCGGAATTGCGCGCCTGTTCCCTGCTATACTTATACGCCAAAATCATATGCTAGCTACTGAGGACCCCGTATTATGGTCTCAAGGTGGTATGAGGTGTACCAGACTCGCCAATGTGATTAGATCCATTGTGAACCTCAAGTATTCTAAGGCAACCAACTAATCACAACCAAGAGTTTCTCTTGAGAGTAGTTCTACAATTCGAGCTAGGGGCTTCGTATATTGTGGGATGAGGTCTTGGGGATTTGGGGTTTCAGAGGTTTGGATGATATTTGCGTTAGTATTTCATTCTGGCTAGCAAGATCTTCTAGAAGCTCGAGAGCGCATAGGACGTCGATCCCCGTTGGGTACTGCTCCCACTCAGCAACAGTTGGATAATATTCATAATACAGATATTTTAGGACCTTAATAGTAGCCCTCTCAGCTCTCATCACCTCATCAGATACATCCCGCCAGAAGTTACTCTCCCTGATGCAGCCCCGTAATTAAGCAGCCCTACTTGGAAGGTCCTGGGACTTAGTAAGTAGGGATGCAAGTACCCTAATTGGGGTTATAAGTAGTTATCTAAAATAATTACAAGTATAGTTACCTTAACCCTCACCCTAGTTACTAAGTTTCATCAGCCTTTACCCAAACCCCCGGGAGGATCTAGCAAGTAGATCCCCTAATTTGGGGGCCTATACTACTAAGGGTACTTTATAGTAACCCCCATTAAGGGATCTACTTTTTGGATCCTTCCGGGGGTCTGGGTAAGTATGAACGAATCCCTTGCAGGCTGTGAAGTTCGGCTTGGAGCTGCAGAGCCGGCAGGGCGAAGACGTGCACGCCAGGACAGGGGTCGTTATATCATTGATTTCTACCTACAGGGAACTCGGAATATGGTTTCTTGGTAGGATACCCTATAATTTACCATAGAAGGGTTAGGATAACCATATTCCAACTTTCTGGCTTTTACCTACCTTATATAGTAGATCCCTTCAGGGTTCCTTAGAAGGATCTATGGGGGTTTGTAGGGGATTGTAGGGTTTAGAGGGCTTTGTCTGAGGGTCTGATTGGGGCCGAAAAATTTTCCACTACTATTTTGGGGGTTCCTTATTATACCTATTTGTATAGTGGGCCCCATAGCCCTATTCTGGTTATTAAGCGTGCTGGGCCCTGCGAACCACAAGCTGAGCGCCCAAGGTCCCAGTGCCTGAGAAGGCTTTCGGGCTTTCGTAGGGTTTAGTGTTCTTATGTTAGGGCTTGTAGGGTTTAGGGTTCTTATGTTAGGGCTTGTAGGGTTTAGGGTTCTTATGTTAGGGTTTGTACTTAGGGCTTGGGGTTATTATGTCAGGGTTTGTAGGGTTTAGGGTTTGAGGCTTGACGGCTTAAAGGCTTTAACCCTTGGGCTGGTTTTTCTTCCTTTTTATCAGCTGCCGCACGCTGACTTAAGTCGAGTCTAGACCTTCCAAAACAGCAATGCAACCCCAAGTGAAGGTTGAAGAGTATTTCATGAGGGGTACAGAGGGCTTACATACTAAAACCCCTACCCTGAACTGCTGAAAGCTGAAGCCATACAAGCATGTAAACCAAGAAGACTGGAAACCTAAAGCCGCGCACCCTCAAATCCTATCAATCTAGGCCTCAACCTCCAAGTCTTTACAACCCGAATCTCTACAGAAGCCCTGCACCTCAAATCCCCCCTAAGCCCATAGCCCAAAAGGTACACCTATATTACTCTGCAAGGAACTGTTGATGGAGCCCTTATTAACTCTTGAAGCCCAATGGTACCCTCAAAGGAAGCCTTCATGGAGAGTGTGTATTAACTTTGGGTACGGCCCCCACTCAGTAACAGTTGAATAATATTAATAATATAGATATGTAAGGCCCTTAGTCGTAGCCCTATTATAGACTACTGTATGGGGGCCGTATCCAGTGTTAACTCATAAACCCCTACAGCCCCTGCGATCCACGGCCTCTCTTTCGAAGGAAAGCGGCCGCAGTGCCCAAGTTCGGCTCTGCCATGCCGCCGACTGAGTAACAAGGGCTATGACAGTTGAGGCTAGGGTTTGGGTTTTAGGGTTTAGGTAGGGTTCAGGGTCTAGGATTCAAGTTTGAGGGTTTTAGGGCTTGGGATTTAGGACGTGTTGACTCTACTAAACCCAAAACCCTGCATAAGCCCGAAGGCCACAGGATCACCTGGCTCGCTTGGCAGCAAGTGTTGCGTTCAATTCTGCTTCTCGGCGCATTATCCCCACCCCAAAAAATGGAAGTCCCGACCCAAAACCCCCAAATGCGATACATCCTACTAATCCCTGTCTGAATGACTCCAACACGTCAGTGAGTGGCCCCAGAAATTGAAAAACAGACTCTGAAGCCCCGACTCCGAGAACCCTGCAGCCTCAAATTCGCCGGAACCCGACAACAGTTGATTATATATACATCCTGACTCATAACAAGGAATATACCATAATTCCCATAGTTTGGGGTCCTTAAGGTAATGCAGGATTTATATCACCAACCGCAAGCTCAGGATCACGCAAGTTCCGATGAAATTCATCCGCCCCATGGACCTGCCAGTGGATGCAGCCGGGGAGGTGGGTGAAGCGTAGCCGTTGCGTTCGCTTTTGGCTTCTCGTTTTGCACTGTCTGCCCAGAGGCAGGACTTGATCTTTGCTGCTCTTGGGAATTATGTGCTTTGTTATGCTAGAACTCCAGGGGATGAGCAACTATATATATATATATATATGTATGTATGTATATATATATATATATATAGTTGTTTATTCTGGTTCTAAGGGCGGCTAAGTGATCGTGTGTGCCTATATAATCTACCGATCTATCTATCCACTCTGCATGTATGCATGTAGCATGCAGCGATGTTTTTCTTTGTGCTGCTGCCAAAGACCGTTACTATGGCAATAATCATCTTCCTGTATATTCACGCTAAACCCTAAATCCTATTTCACCATGCATTACACTCCACAGCACAGATCTTCTCCAAAAGCTGGTCCGCCCTGAACCAAACTCCGATTCAGGATTTAGGCTTTCGGGTCGAGGGTTCGTATCCCCCGAAAGATGAATGAAACACGATGAAGGCAAAAGCCGGAAAGCTCTCTAAGCACAGACACTTCGCAGGTCTCGTTTCTTTCAGCTCTTCTACAGGCCGGCGTGGCTTGGGGGATTCTCACGTATCGGAGTGGTGTTTTTTGTTTACAGGCTGGCTTCGTTGTTCGCTGAGCTTTTCTTTTCAGTTTCCAAGTTGAGGGCTTCACAGTGAGGGTCGGTGGCACAGTTTGAATTGGTTTGGAGGGTTTCTGGGCTTCCGAGGTTCGAAACTTTGCGTGTGACGGGTTCATGCAGATCGCACCCTAAACCCTGAACCCTAAGCCCTCATCTGTCCAATCAGATGGGAGATGCAGCTCGTCATGAACAAGAACCTAAGGTCTTTTGGGGCTTGCGCCTCTTATCTCTCCAATGCACCTATAGTCTCCATTGTAGTTCCTTTTGGGGTTACCTTATAGGATCCATAATATAGAATTGGTTTAAACAAAAAGGAACACCTGGAGACTATATAGGGGCCTTAGTAGTTACAATGGGGTTTGGGGGTCCATTATACCACTCGAAGCCCAGTGGATATCCGGCCGAAAAACGGCCTTGCAACATCCTACAACGTCACATTGTGCAGGACCCAGTTATGGGTTGTCGTTGAGGCCCTACAGGGAATCAAATAAATCTGTATAAGACTCTAGGAACCCCTAACATCTAAACGCTCTGAACCCGCAACCCCCTAAACCCCCCAGGCCCTCTAAGCCCCCAAACCCCCAGAGCCCTAACCCCAAAACCTGAGACCTAAGCCTAAACCCAGAAACCTGCATCCCAACAACCCTGCGGTTGAAGTTCCCTCCAAGGGTCCTGTCTTCTGAAATATCCCTGCTTTCCTTTCCGGTTCCGGGTTTAGGGTGCATGGGCTTGGGTTTAGGGTTTAGCTATTAGAGTAATCTGGGGATTTGGAAGCTCCGGGCCTCGTGGTGAAAAAAAATAGGCTTCAGAAGTTGTAGCGTTCAGGGTTTAGAGTTTAGGGTTTATGGTTTAGGGGTTTAGGGTTGAGGGCTTTAGTTTCGAATCTGCAGATCCTGGAGTTTGGAGACCAGTAAGGCACAAGAAACTGTCCTACCAGTACATGGGTCACGATTCGGCAGAGATGGTGCCTTCTTTTTGAGAATTTCCATCTGTGGATACTTCACCCTCGATGGTCTGGATCCTGGCCTATCGCAGTTCCACGGCTGTTTCAGCCGCAACTCTGCAGCTTTTGAGCTCCACTCTAAAACAAATCTCGGAATGAGATGTTTGCGACAAGCAGCAGCATATCACCCCAAACCTACATCCTAGTGCCTATCTTAAGTCCCACAGCCCTGAACACTAATGATCAATAAACGACATCCAAGCCTACGTATTATACTCATATAGATGTGTCATCGTATCCTTACATATATATCCTCATTAGACTCTCAAAGTGTCTGAACCCCGGTTGAACGTTGCTGTCTTTTGGAGAAGGTCTTGAAGCTACTGTGCCACAAATGGGACCCGGATCTCATGGTGGAGATCGATGATGTGGAGGCCCTTGCCGCAGGTTTTCTTGGGGTTTACGATTTGCCTCAAGTGAAAGGCTCATCGAGTTTAAGTTTTGAAAGAAGTCCTGTAAATGGTTAGTTCAAGGTGACAGTGATCAGAGTATAGAGTTGGGGACTGGAAACCCTGCCATCTGGATACTTGGACCCTCTTCAGGAGAGTCGCCCCTGGGATCTTCAGACCCCTTAGAGCTGCAGAGTAATCAGGGATTATATTTCAAGGGTTTAGGGCCGTTTAGAATTCGTTGAGGTTTGTTAAGGTGAAGTGCATTGGGTCCATGTTTGCCAGTAAGTGTTAGAGGTTTCCTGGTTTTCTGCGCATAAGAATCAGAATGCTACACCTGGCAACAGCCGCAGACTACGTTACCCTAATCCCCGCTGCCTGAAGCTTTATGTCAGAAACAAATATTCATCAATATCCCAAGCACACAATGCCAAATGCAGAACCCAGAACTTTGGCATCAGGCGCCCTGAAGTCAAACTCAAACCCCAAGCGCCGTGAGGCTTTCGGCTTTATAATCAGTGTATATTCATGATACAATACAGCTTTCCCCAACCCCTTGAAGGATCAAAAGGCTGGAGCCCCTCGGAAGGCACCTTGTCGTTTATCGTTTAACCTACATTGGTGAGATCCTTCCGGGGGAGTCTGGGAACCCAGCCAATCCCGGATACTTCGGCCCAACGTTCACCGACAGCTAATCCTCTAAACCCCAAAACCCCAAACCCTGAAGCTCTAAACGACAATGACATAAAGCCCGAAAGCAGGAGGGTCTGGACCCAATGGTGGCGGAGAAGCTCAAGATGCTCGGGGCCGAGGGTTTGGTCTACCTCAGCAATCCCTTCCCCCTAGTATTAAAACCCCCTCCCCCGCACTAACATGAGAATAGATTTCCGGGATTTTGTTTTGATATTAGGGGGTGTTTCGGTGCATCTGGGTGTGAGTCGGGTTGACAGTAAATCGTCAGTACAGTCAGACAAGTCAACAGCGACCAATTCCTGCGCAGTCCCAAAGCCCTGAAGCCCTAAGCCCTAAACCTTAAGCCCTAAAGCCTAAGCCCTGAAGCCCCAAGCCCTAAAGCTTTAGCCCTGAGCCCTAAACCCTTAAACCTGGTCTCTTCGGTCTGAATACTACTGCCATAGTCTTTGGCTCTATTAAAACTCATACAATCCCAGCTCCCCCCACAATGTGTGTAATTAACTTTCGATTGTCGGCCCGAAACCGCGAAATCCTGGCGGCGAGTTATGTTTATATTAGGGGTTTAATAGTAGCGAGGAAGCGACTATTATCGCAGCCTCTACTGCTCGTAAGACTGCTCAACCCGTGTTAGTGGCGGTCTCTGCCCCAACACCCGGTCCCCATGTTTTGTCCTCTGCTGTCGAAGCTTGCGCAGTCATCATGGCCAGAATATTTGCTACTCGTAATATTCACCAAAATGGTGCCTCCCGGCAGCATGTAGCGATTATGCTATGAGTTAGCCCAAGATTCTATTCCAGATGTTAAGGCCCCGGTAAAATCCCCAAGATCCAATTCTGAATATTCAGGCCCCTACACAGCGAATAAAATAACAACAAACCCTAAACCCCAAACCCGAACTCCCGGAGCTCAAGCAGCCTTATAGTACTGCGCATGCCGAGGGAGAAGATCCTTCAGATCAAACATCGTGTGTTGAAGGCGGGCAGCCTCCAAGAAGTTCCTCCCTCCGCTGGGGGTTTAGGGGTTCAGGGTTTAAGGTTTAGGGTGTAGGATTTCAGATGGATGCCTGAGTAAATAGAGTAGATGAGTATTGTGGGGAAATAATCAGTAGGCCTCCAAATTGCGGTTCGGGGTCTACAATGTCCAGTTCTAGAGGACCTAGAGGGTTTAGGGATTCAGGCTGCGGGTAGTACTGTGCTGTCTTTGCTATTAGATTCTTCACTGCTACTGCGAGTGCTGCAGCTTCCTCGTCTGATGCTGCTGTGGCAACTGCATTGATGTGCTGATCGTCCTGCTGCTACCCTTCTGCTTTTACTTACTAGTACCACTGCTGTTGACAACTGTTACGGGTCCTGTTAGTACTACTGACGTTGCTGCCACTTTACATTGCATGAGCCTCGGGGATTTCTGACAAAACTCTTGTTGGTCATTGATATTTTCACCACGTTGCTGTACGGTGCTGCTGCCAGGTTGTTGCTCTGATAGTCATTGCATGTTGCTGTTAACCTACACGATACGATGCGAGTATCTGCGCTTGGTCCTGCTTTTGAGGCAGGTAATCGGAAGTTTGTGCTTTCGGTGGCTGAGTCCAGTCCAATGTGCTTAATGAAGCATCAAAACTCCCAAACGGGCAGTGATTTTCGGTAGGTGTTCCTCGACGCTCCGCCTTAAACCCTCCAGAGGGCAATCTGCCAAATAAGCGTAGGTCATGATAGTTTTAAGGCAGCCGGCTGTTCCGGGCACATGCCAGCTTCTGGTGCATTGCGAGGCGGATCGCAGCGCTTTCGTCAAGGCCCGGTGAATTTTGTGCAGGTTTTCGGGTTCAGGGGTGAGCTTTCTGTCTGGTTCTTAATAGGGCGTGGGGGAATGGATTATGGGGACTATTATCGAGGATGATATAGGGACTACTGCAGAGATCCATTCCCCCATTCCCTGCTAAGCACCAGGGAGCTTTTCGAGGCTTCAGAGGCTTGAGCTTAAGTTTCTTGAGGGTTGTGGGTTAGGTCTGCAGCTTACATTCTGGGAGGTTGCATGAGCTTCTCTGAGCTTCTCAGGGGCATGATTGCGGCGTTCTAGATGATGTTTGTGGTTCAAGTGGCTGGTTTGACATGTTCTGAGAACACCGGCCATGGTTTGGGATTCAATGTTTATTGTGCAGATGCAGTCATTGTCCCACGCTTCGGGTGTTTAGGTTCGCGGACTTTGCGGCTGTGTGCAAGATTGGTGCCACCCTTGTCGATGCGATCTTCCCGGCAAACACCACATGTCCAAACGCCAGTTTGCAGCTCCAGGCGACTAAAGTGCTTCCTGGTCCTCTGCTTGGGTCCCAACCCGAACCTCATACCTGCGCCTACAGTAGGCTTCAAAATCCGCAAGCTCCCCCTGTAAAACCCCCAAACCCCGACTGTTTAGAGCCGGGTCACTGCCTTAGATAAGCCTGAACCCGTTTTCCTGTGTGTTCTTCTGGAGTCATGTTCCACTATCAGTGTAAATAATAAATAGTAGAACCATGGGATGGCCTTAAGGACCCTGACCCCTAAACCCTGCCCTAAACCCTCAAGGGGCCTATAGAAACCAGATCAGGACCATGTCGCTGCATTGAAGATACAGCGCATCATCCGCGATCGACGCCGGGAGCTCTCTCGTTCAGGGTTTACCGGTTTACCTTAACCAGAAGCTTCGTATTTTTTTGTTGTAGGGGGGGTCGTTCTACTAAGGCTCCTTTTCTTCGTGGTCGGAATAGGGTTTTGGGTTTACCTACAGTTTCCATTGTACTTCCTTTCTTGGGTTACCTTATAAGATCCGCAAAACAAACCTGGTTAAACCAAACGAAGGAACGACGATGGAGACCATAGGTCATCATCCGGTTCCCCATAGCACTAGTTTGTTTTATACAGCTTCCGTTCGCCCCTCTGGCCTTCTTGGACTACAACTTCCCAGAGTTTTGGGGTTTTGGGCTTCAGGGTTTATGGGTTTAAGGTTTAGAGTTCTCCACATCTTCGATCTTAATTTGTAAGAAGATGCACAGTGACCAGGATTCACAGGGAGAGTTTCCAAAGTTGGGAGACACTCGTTTTAAATAAGAACCCCCGAAGAGTAGCGTGCCTGTTGTCAGGATCCCTAAAACGGCCCCTCTGCTTTTCTGACGACCTCACGTGGCCAGTATAATGAACTGAAGCGTGGATCAGGCCCTTTAAGCGCTCGTATGATCTTATGAATGCCCCCACCTTCAGCCAACCGAAAGATCCAAGTATCGATTTTCAGGCGCTGCCAAATCCCTCGCCGCGCGGCGAGCAGGCTCCTTTGGGAGACTGTGCGCTGGTTTAGGGGTTTTTCGGGTTTTGTGTTTCGAGGAGTTTGCAGGGTTCGTAGGATTAGGGCTTGTAGGGTTTACTGGCTTCAGGGCTTATCCAGTGTGGGGTCGAGGGTTTTATGGGGAGGGGGCTCCAGACTCCAGGCAGTCGACCATATCCTTGGATTGGGAAGACTTTGATTAGATGACCAAAGGCCTTCGCCTCCGTGGTTTAGGGTTCAGCGTATGTAGTATTTTTTGCGCAGGGTTTAGGGTTTAGGGGTTTAGGGTTAGGGGTCTAGGGAGTCTAGGGGTTTTGGGATTTGGGCTTAAGGGGTTTGGGTTCAGGGTTTAGGGGTGTTTAGGGGTTCATGCAGGGTTCAGGGTTTCCTGAAGGAAGGGAGTCGGCTCTTGTGGTCGTGACTGGGGCGGCTTGAGGCTTGAATTGCAACACTGTAGATTCCCGCGCCGTATCGTGCAGTTTAGACCGACTTAGAGCAACCAATGTCAGTATGCTTTGGAAAGAGAATGATCCTAACACCCTAAACCCGAAATCCCTTTGTCAGGGGTAGCCCTGGTTTCTGTAGGCGAACCGCACGCGTTTGGGAACCTCGGGCCAATGTTGGTGACGCATGAGTCCCAGCATCATACAACACAGGTACAGTAGAAGCCAGAAAGTTGGAATATCATTATCGTAACCCCTTCAAGGTAAATTATAGGGGATCCTACCATTAATCCATATTCCAACTTTCTGGAGTTCCCTGTAAGGTATGAATAAGTATACACAGAGTTTTTATTCCTAGGCTTCGTTCATATGTTGACCTTTAGAAGCCTATAAGTCATATAATTACCCCAGAGCCCATTTGTTAAGGCCCTGTGTTTCTTTGGGGCTTCGGTTCTGGGCTTGGTGGTGCTCTTTGCTGTCAGAGGTTTGAGGTTCAGGGCATGCCCTGTATACTTTAAACTTTATGGGTATTGGGGCCATTCTTTTACCTACTTTTGGGGGTTGGCTCACCCCAACTCCGATATGCTAGTTTCGACCTCTCACCCCCAAGAACACCTTCCTCAAGCCGATACAAGACACTCAACTGTCCAAGCAAGCCCCTCAACCCTCAATCCTAAACCTTTCACCCTAATCCCTAAAGGCCTTAAATCATAGACCCTAAACCCTAAATCCTAAACCTTTCACCCTAAACCCTAAAGGCCTTAAATCATAAACCCTATAAACCCTAAATCCTAAACCGTAAACTCAACTAAGCTTCACAGAGGCCAGCGGCATTCTTTCCAGGACCAAGTAAGCTGATGGCAGCAGAGGCCCGGTCGTTTGGGTCCGAAGCGCGGCTTAGGGTTCAGGGCTTAGGGTTGAACGTTTTAGGGTTTAGGGTTTATGATTTAGAGTTTAGGGTGAAAGGTTTAGGATTTAGGGCTTAGGGTTTAGCGGTTTAAGGTTTAGGGTTTAGGGTTTAGTGTTCAGGGCTTAGGGTTTAGGTTTTCAGTTCAGCCTTTGGCGTTTCAGGATGTCAAGAACAGGTTTGATAAGGGTTTAGGGTTTGGTTGAGAGGGTAGACTTTTGAGACGTGAGGTCTTAGGGTCTATGCAGTGTGTTAACCGGAATGGGTTACGGTGAATATGTGCGCATAAAGTTGTGCAGCCCTAGTTGCTTGGATTTCTTTTTCGGTTTGGGATGCCTACCCAGATATTCCAAAATCCCTGAACTCAGAAATACACCTTAGATAAATCATACTCGGCATCCTGTCTATCGGACAACAGGGTGGACGTGTTGGATTATGTGTGGGGTTTTTTCGAGGACCAATCTCGGGGCCTGCAGGAAGGTAGTTTTAGGTTTCATCGGTTGTACAATACTCAAGATATTCGGCTTTTGATACATGAACGGTCCCAAATGTGAAATCATCAAGATCATCTCAAGATCCTATTACCGGTAAGGTCTGTGCTGCAGTCCAGCTTTTGTTGCAAGGTGGTGATGTTTGCAGAGTAGCTTCTATAAGGCCTGTGCTCGTTGGTGTTGGAGTGCCCAGCTTCAATTATAAGCATTACAGGTAGAATGACAAGTGTTACTCCTACACCTAAACCCCAAGCCCGGAGGCCTAATCACTGAACCTTGCCTGCTGTCGCATAAGCCCTAATCCCTGAACCTTGCCTGCTGTCGCAGGGGCCTGGTGGACCGCAGTGAGAGCAGCTTTGAATTCGGGGAATGTGAGGGTTCAGGGTTTCATGGTTGAGGGTATCTGATCCACTCTGAGCCTGAAACCCCTAAATTCTAAACTATACAGACCTAGACCTTCAGACTGAGACAGGCTCATGTCATGACACTCACGTAGGCACCGACATGTGTTGTAGGACCCCAGCAGGCACTGGACAATAACTTTGTTGCAAAATCTGTCAGGTAGGACAATCCCACCTGCGCTACGAAGGAAACGAAGGATTTTGTCAGTATCTTGTGCCATTACAACAAGATGGTGTTTGCAGATGGGGGCGGTGGCCTTCTGCAAGGTTAAAAACTTCTTCGTGTACCCCCCCTCGGCAACTCAGAGAAGCAAGGTTGCGTTCGCGCAGGGCTAGCAAAGCTGGGCACCCCGGAGGGTCCTAAGTACCTGTATGGTAGAATGTAGGGTGTCTATATTAGGAACTACTATTATGATCCGGGGAGGTATCCCTCGTAATAGTACATAGGACCCTTTGGGAAGCAGAACTATTAAGGGGATCTGTAGGGGTTCTATAAGGGCTCCTTTAAAGGGATCTATAAGGGTTCTACAAGGGGTCTGGGTACAAGCCATCAAGAGCTCAGTTCCGAGGCGCTGTTCAAGGAACAGGTCGCCTCACGTGCAGCGAAATCTTTTCAAGAAGGAGTCAAAGTCACCTAGCCCACAAAAGTGCGGCTCTCCGATATCTACAGAAGAGGCTATCTTGGTTCTCGGTGTTCGATCGTGCTTTCCTGTTAACGTAGAGCTGTCCTCACCCTATAAACCCTAAACCCTATAATCCCAAGAAAACCCTAAACTGCTGCTGGTTGTCTTCAACTTGCAAACGACGCTTCTGGCAAGATCTGGAGGCTGGTTTCAAGCCTAAGGTTTCGGGTTTTAGGGTCAGGCTTCAGGGGTTGGGGTTTAGGGTACTATGGAGGTCGGATCCTTTCCCGGAATCCTGGGCCAAGCTTTAGTGTTCTTAGGAATCAGGTTTTTGTCTACCTAGAGTAACCAATATACCCCCGCAAAAAAAACTGATATGACCCTCAAGAAATCATACACACACTTACAGGTTTAAGGTACCTTGGTAACTCTAGGACTCTAGGTATAAGCAAGCCAAACCATTTGTCAAACTTATTCTGTTGGTTTGGGTCCTTGGGACGAAGGACACACACACACACACATATATATATATATATATATGCGGTGGTGCGAGTACGTAGGGCTTGGCGAGTGGAGGAGGTATAGGGACTCGGAGTTCTACGTGTACCAGTGCCTTCGCGTGTCTAATGCACAGAGGGTATACAATATATATGTATATATATATATATACATAGTATACATATATACATACATACATACATACATACATACATACATACATGTACATGAACACACACACATATCTATCTACTACGTACCGTTGTGGAATTAGGTGCCAAAACGCTTCTGGAGACCTATAATACCATTATCGTAGTAATCGTAGTATATGTGGACCCTCTTCGATCTTGGAAGAATAAAAAGGGTCAGACGTTTGATGTTTACCTTGAGCTGCCAAACCCCAGCTCTTTGGCAGGGTCCGGATGAACTCTGTATCTGGGGATTTGGGTTCATAGTAAGAATCTACCAAAAATGCGAAATGATAGTTCTAAGTAGGGATCAGGGACCGGGTGGGGGGGGGGGCGATAACACAGTGTTCCTTTGGTTTGAGGTTCGTTTTTGCTGGTTTGGGTCTGGTGTCTGGCGTGTTTGAGTTCTTGGCCTCATGTACAGTGTGTTTGTTTATCCGAAGATCTTGCAAGGAGGCGTGTCGTTTGGTGTCGGATAGCCTGTGCCCAGATGGACGTACGCCTAATGAGATATCATGACTGACATCAACGTCGACGGTTTTTTAACCAGGCAGTGTTTGATTTCCACTCAGGTTGAAAAGCCAACATTTCGAACAGGCCCCATGGTGAAGTGTTCGGAATCACTTTTCCAGCAGGATCGCTTTGATTTTCGCTTTGTCCACACTGTGAGAAGCTACACAACTCCAGATAGCAATTAAGCAAGTCGCGCTGGCGGCTCCTTCCTGTGTATATATGGGGCTGGACATCCAGCGACAGCCAGCTGAAAACGGCGTGGCTGCACTGGGGCCCCTGGCAAAGGCAGATTGTTTAGGAAGGGGTTAGGGTTTTGTGGAGAGATCCCTACACCCTCAACACCTTCAAAGACAGGCACCAGGCCTTCGCACGCTTTCTCCTGCCGACATGTGAGCCACAGCACCTATCTTAAGCACCTGAGGCTCGAACGAAGCACCTTCGATTACAATTTTGTGGAGTTTGTTAGCCAGAAGCACGGTGGCGGACATCAGACGAGCTTATCCGTCCGCCGTAGGCTTTTGTGGTGCTTTGCTTTCAGTAACTCTTCTGGCCTGTTCCTAAGGTTTGTAGAGCTTGACGAAGGGCTGCTCTAATGAACTCTAATGCGTATCCGACTCTACTTAAAGGGACATGGGACTTAGTAACTCGGGTTACACTTAAGGCAACTATACTTAAGATTACTTATAAGCCCAGTTAAGGTACTTATAGCCTTACTTACTAACTCCCATGTTCCTCCAAGTAGAAGGAGGACACTCTCAAAACCCACAGAAACTCGGGCGGAAGCGCTTCCCCCGGGACATCGACCGCATGCCCACTTAGTGGGAGAGCGGAGCAATTTGCGGCTCGCGCAGAGAAACGGCGTGCAGGGATCCTTTGGCCCGAACTCTACGGCTTCTTCTATACTAAGCAATATTTATACTGAGGATCCTATAAGGTAACCCAAAAAACGAACTGCAATGGAGACTATATAGGTGTGGCTTCTACTGCTCTCAGCATGACTGTTTTGATGCCATCACGGTTGCGACGATGTGGAAACAAGCAAGACAAGACGAACGAATATGATCTAGGGGCGAATACCGTCCGACGACGACTACGAGAATGACGATGAGGATGGCGACAAGAAGGACGACGACGAGCACGATAACCTGCGGGCCACAATTCGGAAAAATTGGAGGTCTCCTTATTATAAGTACAATTGTAATATTATATTACAAGGGGCTCCCAAACCCGATTCTAGTCGTTAAGGCCCTATACTATAGTAACTACCCTTATTTATAGTATCGCTTATAGTAGCCCTTATATAGGACCCGTTAAGGAACCCTATTCTAATTATTACCGCCCCTTTATTAGCAACGGCATTGGGGACGGCGACGACGATGACCGTGACCACCAGGGCGAAGACGATAAGAAAACGATCAAACCATCATAATGTTTTTGTCTATTATGATGATGATTATCATGATTGGAAAAATGCTGATGATGATGAGGAGGAGGATGCATATCTCCTCATGGTAGCGACGCCCATTTTCTGACTTTTTCTCGCTGACCCCAGTATTAACCATGGCCATGTTGATGTTCTTGCTCATGACGACCGCATGAACTGTTCGTCAGCCGCAAGTACCTTCTTTTCTTAGTCCGGAAGGGTACCTGCACTCTCGGGGTTCCTATAACTAACGGCTTTAGGGTGTTATGCGGTATTTGATCAGGGTTGCACGGTCTTTACTATCGGCTTTATAATGCGCCTGTCTTTATTGTAAGTACCTTGTCCTTGAAAGAGTTGTTGCATAGCAAGTTCGGGGCCTGTGCAACGTCTATTGTAGATACATTCACATGGACCCTGAAGGGATCGCAGGCCTGAAGCTACAACCCTGGAACTCTCATGTCTGAAGCTCGCACCAGAACAGCTTCTATCTCTGTACTGAAGACGTCCGACGCTTAATACTGATATCCGCATTAACATCCAAGGCTCTGATCCCAGCTGAAACAGATCCCGTGCGGTCCTTGCTTTCCGTGGCAGCGTTTCGAACTCTGGGGAAGGGGAACGGAGGAACGCATTGGCCGTGCCTTTGCAGCCTTTCCTCCTCGAATTACATAGACTAGAGCTTCGGGCTGCAACTCGTTTTGAGGTTGATTCGTGTCGTTGTCAGATTTGTGCAAATTGTGTATCTGGTTCGTTTGCTCCAGTATGCTTCCCCCAGCTGGTTTACGCGGTGTTGCGGCTTGTAGGTGTCATGCGGACGTGGTGGTTGCGGGCATACACTTTGTAGAAAGGTGTGCAGATTCGGGAACTGGCCCGGGTCTGTAAATCGATGTATCTTCTCTTTCTATCTGGCTAATTAGTCTACTGTACTCAGACCATCGGCACAGAGTCCGCCAAGAAAAGCCTGTCTTCAATAATGGTAACTAGCTTATTTGGGATCCTATTTCTTGGATCTTTTGCGGGTCTAGGTTTTTCCGTCTCTCCCTCCGGCCCTCCCTCCGGCCCTCCCTCCCTCCCTCTCTCTCGAGCCCTTGCTCTTGTCTCGCTCTCTCTGTCTTTTTCTCTCTTTCTCTCTCTCTCTCTCTTTCTCTTCCTCTTGCTGTTTCTCTCCCTCTTCAGCTTTGTCTTTGTCTTTCTCTTTATCATTCGCTTTATCTTCTTGCTCTTCCTCTTTCTGTCTCTCTCTGTCTCGCTCTCCCTGCGTCTCTCTCTCTCTCTCTGTCTCTCGCCAGCCAGCTTGCTATCCATCTGTCCATGCCCTAGTGCGGTCAAGCCCGAAATCTGAAGTGACCGGTTGCTGCGTTCCAAGTTGGGCTCATTCTACAAAGACTACTTACGACTTAAAGTTAGTTAATTACATGCTTCAATACGTTAGCATAGGCCAAAATATATGTGTATACATATATATATATATATATATATATTTACACGCATTCTTTGTATGCACACCTACATGCACACGTACATACTCACATACATGCAAATGTGTACAGGGTGGGAGAGAAGGAAAGAGAAAGAGAGAGAGAGAGAGAGAGAGTGAGATAGCCATTTTGGCTCAAGTCATTCACTCTTGTGGGAACCCGGCTGTCAACCGGAGGGAACCTGGTGGCGCCGCGGGAGGGTGGCCCAGCGGTAGGAGGAGGCAGCATGCCATCTCAAAGAGGAACCCATAGTGATCCCGCTGTACCAGGAGGAGGTCGGAGACCCGCTGATTTACGTGCACATGCAGACGCTGACCGTCCACCACTTCCAAGAAGGCGACAAGGGCAGGTAAACGGAGAACGCCGAGACTGAACGGGGGACACCAACACGGGAATCGGAATGAACGTGATAGTGGCAGGGACACCGAGAAGGAGATCCACGAACTACGAGGGGGACACACAGTCCCAGAGGGGAACAACCCCAAAGGAGAGGAAAACCGCTGCAGCCCCACCGCTGTGCAAGCAAGACAGGGCACGCAAGGCTGCGAGTTTTGGACCAGTACCTGAACGTACACTTCTGCAAACCGGGAAACCCCGGATCATGTTTATCCCCTCGAGCACACGCAGTCTTTTACAAACTTCTGTTATTGTACCGGTGCCAGCAACACACTCCCCACACGGGGGAACAGAGCACTGGAACACCCGTCTTTATACAGCCGAGCCCATCCTTTGAAAATCAGGGATGGGGTTGCTATAACGAGCGGGCCACAGGGATTGCCTGTGGCCCACACCCCGGAGCAAAGCAAAGCAAAGAGAGAGTGAGAGGGATAGGAAGCAAGCCTGGTCGTTGTTCTGAGCAAGCGCACTCTTACAGGCCGCGCTATATATGTATATATATATATATATATATCTGTCTCTCTCTCTCTCTCTCTCTGTCTCTCTCTCTCTCTCTCTGTATATATGTTGTGATGTATAATGTGTGTGTGTGTGTTTGTGACGAAGTGCACCTTCCGCAGCGTAGTGCTGGTTTTTTGCACCTAGGCGGTGCTTATTCTACCGCCGGGCTCTATCTCCTCAAAATATCTTATACACGTTCTAGAACGTATTATGTATATGTATATGTAGATGTATATGTATATGTAGATGTATAGGTATATGTATATGTACATGTCTATGTCCATGTCTATGTCTATGTCTATGTCTATGTATATGTACATGTACATGTACATGTACATGTATATATATATATATATATATATATATATATTTAGATATACACATATGTATGTATGGATATCGTATAGACTCATACTTATGTATATAAGTATATGCATATATATTTGTATATATATATATATATATATACATACATATATATATATATAGATACATATGGTACCCCTCCAGGTAATTCCTTCAAACCAGTACATGGGTCTAGCGATTAGGGAGTGCAGGGATTTAGTTTCAAAAGGTCGTTTTTGTTTTTGAGAGAGTGGGGCGCGGTCCGGAATATAAGGCCGTATAACATACATAAATACATACAGTCATGCATACAGTCATACATACATACATACATGCATGCTTACATACCTATTGCAGACAAACAGACTGACAAGCTGGCAAACCGACAGACACACAGACAGGCATGCATGCAGAATGCATGCATGCACGAATGGATACGTGATTCTTGCATGCATGCATACATGCATGCATGCATACGTCTGGACACACGCTCCTCATAAAACATATAACATGTAGCGCCTAGTTGTTGTTTGATGGAAACGTTCTTCGTTTGTACTATCTCAGCTGGGTAATTTCCAGTTTTATATTGCCGTGAAATGCACCCTGACATGGGAGCTTCTGACAGTGATCACCCTCAGTATCATCAATATGTATCTAGGTATCCATTTGGGATAACTTGTTATTTTCTTCCCTTGTGTTGATGTAGAGCCGTATGTTTTAATAATTTGGGGGGCTGTCGAAATCGACACCGAATCGACACCCAGGCAGCAGTTTATTTCACAGTATCCCTACATGGCTTATCCCTGACTGAAGCCCTCTGTAAGATCCCACATAACCTTGCACTGCAATCCTGAGCTTAGTAGTTGAGTGGATACACTTTACACTTTTGGGGGATAATATTACCCACTATAAAACACAAAGTGAAAACTTCTTTGGGGCAAATAAAAATCCCGACGAGACTGAGGATTCCTCCAATGGCCCAGCACGGCCCGCTGGTCGGGCTCCTGGCGGCAGTGACTCGGAGGGCAGAAATGGGGCTGGTTCTCATGATAAATGATAGCTTGTTTGTTCCTACGAGTCGAGGGGTCTATCGTACTAGGGTTTGGGGGTGTTTGAGTGTAGAAGGTTCTTATGACAAGGATGCCATTATCTGGGAGACCGTTTCCGGTTTGGGATTGCCGTCATAAGCAGTACCCCGTCCCTGTTCCAGTACCGACCCGAATCCAAAGGCCACGTAGATGACCTGATTAGCCATGGAGACCTTTCTGAGTGCGGGACCTATAGCAGAAAATAACAGTGGATGTCGATCTGCTTTGACCCATAGATTTGGGGACAATAGAGCTAACTCTGTGAATAAAACTTCAAGGGGCCCGAAGGAACCCCCATAGTTGTCCTTCGTAACTTAGTACAAAGACAGTCCTTATGCCAACCCATAGAAAGATCCGAACATAGTATATAGCCCTTTCAGCAATGCTTTTGAGACAGGGCATTGTGTGTTGCGGAAAGCTGTGAGACTGATCAAAGGGTCTAAACTTCGGGAATTTGCGTCACCTTAAACCCTAAAGACGGGAAGCTCCTTGCGGTTGATGGGTCATGGCAACCTGAACATTGGGGGGTTCTATAGGGATATTAGGTCTGGGGTGTAAGGTTTAGGGTAGAGGGTCAGTGCTTGCGCTGCAATTAGAGTTTGCCCAGGTGGTGGTCACAGTGGTGGCATATGCATGGTATGCAGTTCCGTGCGGCTCTGACACCCTTTGCGCACAGGCAGGCTGCAAGCAGCTTCATACGACTTGCCTTTCGGAGGTTCATTGTTCAGCATTTCACCTAGAGGAGTAAGCCATATCCCTTCCCTATGTTTCGACGATGATGGCCTGACCGTTGATTTGGCGAATGAAGACCGATGGTTGGTCCTGTTATTTCTCGTGAATCGGAATGTGCGAGCCGCTGTAGAGAGCCATGAGGCTCTGAAGGTTTGGCACTCCAAGTTTTCAGGCAGGTCAGGGGTTAGGGTTTCCGGTTTGGGGGGCCCGCTGCTAGCCTTACTCCTGCAGGCAGTTCCAGCAGCCTACCACCAGCGCGCACATGCAGCTCGGCTGGATGAAACCCCAAAAAACCCGGAGCGAGGCTCTTAGCTGCCCAATCTTCAAAACCTCAAGCCCGTGCTAAACTCGAACCCGATACCCCACGCTTCAGACGCAACTAGTTCCCAACTCCCTACAATCCTCAAGTCAGAGCCTAAGAGCACCCTACCACACTTGCAGGACTGGCTGCAAGTAGGTCTGTATTTGTTCTATAGTAACTACTTGTAGCAGTAGCATCACCTCACTTCGAACTGGATGTCTAAATCAAGCAACAGAATGTTCCCTGCAAGTTCCTTCGGAGCTTATGAGCTTAGCACACACCACAAAAGCTCTAGTCCAATTGGCAAGGCGAGTATAGTACCTCTGACAAAACAGATGACAGAGAAACATCGGTAGTTAAGGTACTTCGGCTGCTCCAGTTCTATGGTGGACTTCTGTGGGAGTAGGATCGCTATAGCATAGCCTCAACCCAGATCCAAACCGTAACCCTAAACCCTAAAAGAGAACACTCCGCAGCCTAAACCCCAATCTTAAACCCTGAATCCAAATGCCCCACGCCAGCTTCACTGGATTGAACATGCAACCCCTTAGGCCTTCGTTGCGCTGGGGTTGGGCGTCGTCCTCCTCCGGGAAAGCTCCCTGCTGCCGCTTGGCCGACAAATTTCTCGCGACTTCGCTTCCGCTGACCAGATCTTCCTGACGGTCTCATTGGCCTAGGATGAGTCGCGTATGCTTCTGGGTTGGGCGGTCGAGAATTTCGCCCAGTGATGTCCGGTTTAGGGTTGGGTTAGGGTTTCGGGTGGAGGGAAGTTGTGGACCCATTCAAACCTGGATCCCGAAATCTCTCATGTGCAGCTCCGAAATCCTGACCCCCAAAACCTGACGCAGCTTACTAAACCTTACATGACAAGCTTCTAAACCTTACACAGCTGCACACTTTAGACTACGCAAACCCCTATAAACACCTAAACCTTGCAAGCCCGCTGAGGATGGTGTCAATTGTGGACAGAATGATCTGCAAGACCGACTGGAGCCTGTGGGACCGGCGCAGAGTTTGGGGTTTAGGGTTTCAGGGCTTTAGGATTCGGGGTTGAGGATTTAGGGTTTAGGGTTTGGGGATTTAGGGTTTAGGGTTTTAGGGAAAGATTTTTGGTTTAGGGTTTTAGGGAAAAGGGTGTTGGGGTATGGGGTTGAGGATTTAGGGTTTTAGGGTTTAGGGTTTTAGGGTTTTAGGGTGGGTTCCGGCTCTACTGTCACGGGTTTTTGAGTTCTCGAAGGGTTCTGTGGGAGGAAGTGGAGCAGTCATGAGACCCAGATTGGGGATGTACAGGGCGAATCAGCTTTACGGTTTGTGCGCATCGGGCTAAGGTCTCACGATTCATCAGGTTTGCCGTAGACCCAAGCCCTAAACCCGGAACCGCCAAGACTTTGACGAATGGAGCTGCCCGTCGTCTGTTGTTTGGACGCTCCAGAAAGGTGAAAACCAACCTTGCTTGCCTCAGGAATGAAGAACCACCAAGAACAAAGAAGTGGCCTGGGGATGCCACTGCTGAGCAACAGGTGGCGTGCCTGAAGGAGGTGTTCGCCTTCGCCGAGCGGGCATACCATGCCCGCTATTCGGACATGGAGGGCTACGACAGCTCCTTCAAAGCGCTTGGGGCTTCTTTGTCCTACGTCCCATCACATGACAAGCCACTGCATCTAACCGGCTCTTGTCGAGATGTTTCAAACGTTCTGAGGCCATCGGAGGATGTGATGCGGGCCCGCCTTCTTGAGATGCAAGCCCGCATCACTCTTGAGAGCTGGGAAAATCTTGAGACGGAAGCACGCCTCACGCTTCGGAGCTGAGAAAAAGGCTGCACGATCAGACGGCATTGTTCGGGCATCGGATTGGTGGAACACCGCATAGACCTGTATCTATATTCTGACTAGTGACTAGTGCCATTCCGCAGTATATGAACCCGGAATGATCGGTTCAAATGCTCTTTGAAGCTTTTCGGCCCTGGGGGGGGGCCACCAGACCGGGGTCAAGAGGAGGTCCGTGACTGTATGGGGGATACCTGTTAGAAGCATACTGATAGTTCCTAGTGTACGAGCCCTTACGTAGGTACTTTCGTCAGTCTGAGGCCCTAGGTTGATTCCACAAAAAGCCATAGTATGAACGCCAATGGGGTCCTTACAGCGCAGCAATCTTGCTGCTATAAGCAAAAGGGCAGCAATGTGCTTGTTACATAGTTGCAAGTCAACCCACTGTTGGCACTCTCCCTAAACCCTGTTCCCTTAGTCTTTGACCGCTTATCCGCCCTCATATTTAGTTGATTGAGTGCTGGCTGCCAAGTTCGACCCCACACTCCTCTACGAACCAATTACTTAACCGAGGGTCTTGAATAGTTGCCTACATTACTCCAAGTTGGGCTCCTTGGTATCATCAACAATCCAGAAGTATACCATTCTGAGCATTAGTGTAAGGTTTCTGTATCATAGAACCCTTATAGCAAGTCTCATAGAACCCTTCAAAGATCCAAATATACCGTAAACCTTAAACCATACACCGGCCCTGCATCGAAAAGCGGCAGGACCAGGGCCTTGCACAGATGTTGCTATGTTTGGTCCTGACTTCGCTGACATCCATGGAAGTGTATTTGGCGTGTCGCGGCTGCAAACCCCTAAACCCTAAAGGGCCCACAAACGGATGAATTCTGGGGTATAGCTCGTAATCAAAGTAGTAGGTATCTGGCATGTCAGACCTCAAGACCCTCATACCCTGAACCTGAAAATCTTCAAGCTCACAACCCTGGTAACCCTTGTGCCCCCTCAGAGGCTTCAAGTCTCAGCCCACACCAGTCCGCATCGGAGAATCCAGCCTGCTTGAAGGATCCTAAAGATCAACTTTAGGCTGCAGGATTCAGGATTTCGAACTCCCTAAACCCTTAGCCCCAAACCCTAAACCGGGTTGACATGAAGCCAGGCAGTTTCATCCCAAACCCCAGTACACCAGGAAACGCCTGCATCCTACCGCTGTTCCAGAGGTTTGAGGGTTCAGGTTTTTGGGAATTTAGGGTTTAGGGTTTAGGGTTTAGGGTTTGGGGTTTAGGGTTTTAACAGGGTTTTGGGGTTTTAGGGTTCAGGGTTTAGGGCTTTCGGGCTTCCGGGTTTAGGTCATCAGGGTCCCATTGAAAGCCAAATCTCTCTATCTACATGTATCTCTAGGTTGCAGTCTATCTTTCTTTCGCCGCTGTACATGTGTATGTGTATATATATATATATATATGCATACATGTTTACGAAACTATTTATTTGCCTGGTTTTGCATATGCGTGTGTACGTTTCTATGTATAAATGTGTGTATGTGTATATATATATATATAACTATATAACGCAGACATGTTCACATACCCAAATACCCACACGCAAAGCACGAAGACATCAAACCCTGCTTCCTCCAGCCTGCTAGACCTGTTAATCAATCGCTGCGTCACAGAATCCCAGAGGGAGCAGCAGATCTGAGACCATGAAAGGTGTTTGGGTTAGGGCTCAGGGTTTAGGCTTAGGGATTCTAGGTGGCGGGGTTGAGGGTTTTGACGTGTTGTTTGGGGTTGCTCCCACCGACCCAACGGTGAACGGCATGGATCCACGCTGCAATCCTTTGAACTGAGGGGCCCGCGAGCTTTATCCTTTAAAACTCTAATCAGGCCCCAAGCCTTAAAATCCCTGAACTCGAATCGCTGGCTCTGTGGGATCTCACAACTCCCTTAGATCCGAAATCCTGGTGAGCTAACCATGGTATCTCTTCTGAAGGTGGACACCGCTACCGTGGGTTCATGTCGCACATGGCGTGCCGGTCTTTACTATCCGCGCACTGGCGACATTATTTGATTTCAGAGTTCAGTTTAGGGTGTTGCAAGTGAATCAGTGGTCATTGCAGGAGGAATTGAGTGATCGTTCTGGTGTGCATTTCGCTTTGCAGAGAAATTGGGTAATCAGGGTCATGTCCAGGGGCAAGGGCGATCGCCTTAACTGCAGCCCTTTGAACAATAGACCTTTGAATGAGAAAGTTTCAAGGGATGGCTCAAATCAACCCTAATAAGCCCTAAACCGTCCAGCTGATGGCAGGCGTTGCGTGTTTTCGTAGAGTTTTCAAAGATCCTGGCTTCAAGGATCTGGCTGGTGAGTCCCAAATTAATAGGTCCCGGTCTTCTTGAGGTGTTTATGGCTTTCAACTTTGGTGTAGGGCTGAAAGGTTTCGGTTGTGTGTATGTGTTATCTGTATATGTATACACAGACAGGTATATGTGCTATGTATGGATAAGGCTCGAGATTTGTGAGGTTGGACGTCAGGGTTCGGCTGCTAAATCCGAGCCATACTGTGAAATAGTGACTGAATGCGAGTTTCGGAGGGTGTTGAGCTGTGAACTCAGGATACGCCAGCTGGCTCGTGGATGTGCCCCTGATGCCACTCAGTCAGCAGCACCAGACATGGCCAGAAGTAGTAGACATGCGCAACATTCTTGGGTAGTTGAAGTGCTTCCGGTGGTTTATCTAAATGACTTGTGAGTGAGTGAGAGTTACGGAGACTGAGCCGTATACAACTCAGCAAAACCCTAAGACCTATAACCTAAACCCTGAACCCTAAACCCGAAACCCTAAACCATAAACCCCTAAACCCTAAACCATAAACCCCTAAACCCTAAACCATAAATCCCTAAACCCTAAACCATAAACCTCTAAACCCAAAACCCTAGCCCCTCAACCCTCAACCTGCCGAATCTGAGGCTGCTCCTGACCTGCTGTGCAGGGCTGAACCGGCCCCTGTCCGAAGCGCTAGGCCGCTTGGGGTCTGGGGTTTGGGGGCAAGAAGACTCCTTAAGCTTGTCGTATCTGCATGCTTTTTATGTTATATATGTATATGAGTGTATCTGTATATGTGCAAATAAGTAAATGTGTATGTATGTGTGTGTATATATATATATGTACACACACACACACTTGTATGACGTATCCACCTGCGAAGATACATGCATGCATACATACATGCACACTTACTTGCTGGGTAGCCAGCTATCTCGGTGATCCACACATATGCAGGTGTATACGCAGATACACACATGTATATCTGTATGTTATCTGTACATGTGTATGAACACACACACACACACACATGCGGCAATGTTCGTGTGCTGATACTTCTGTTACGCCATTCTTAACTCATGAAAGTAGTGGTTTCGCTACGTTGAAGGCTCTCGGATGCAGAATACGGGTCGAAGTTGTCCTTGCAATCTTCCGCGGGTCCAACCCAGAAGAGCTGAAGCGATTAGCAAGAAGAAGCGCTGTTAAACTGTCAAGGGTCCATGTGCCAAAACGGTATAGACTTTGGCACCAAAGTACCTATATAGGGACTACTTTAAGGCCAAAGTATTTGCCTTTTTTGGTAACTACATGGACCCTTTGGGATTGGGTTCTTGCAGGAAGCCTGACCTTCGAAGTGATAAGTTGCCCCTGCACATCCTGCGCGAACCTTGGACCGTCCCAGTCCTTCTTCTAGGCCTCCTAAGGCTCTAGAACCCACAGCCAAAAAACAAAAACATATACAAACGCCCTACGCACCGAGATCTGAAGACCTCATGCCCCCGGACCTTGATACCCGAACCTCTGAAGACCTGGACAGTTGAGGGTTTTGCGTTTGGAGTTTCGGGGTCTTGGGTTTCGGATTTGTTCTTCTGTTCCTGTCTTCCCAAGCCAGGTCCGATCTTGGCCACGAATGGCTACATCCTCGTCTCCTGGGCGGCCCTCTTTGTAGAGAGCCCTGGTGGATTGTTGTAGCTTAGGTCCTAGGGGTTCAGAGGTTAGTGCAGGGTTTAGGGTTTGATTTAGGGTTTAGGGTGGTGTCGCAGGGTTCAATCTGGAGTTTTTCCATGACGAACAAGAGTTATGAGAAAAACACTGCCGAAGTTCCGAAGGGATCCCAATGTTAAAGGTTTGAAACAGGGGTGGTAGTTTTCCCTTCACTCAATACCCTATTCCAACGGATAAGGTCCCTGCATCATTGAACCCTTATAGTAACCGTTCCAGAACGCTTTAAAGAGCCCTTCAGGAACCTATTCTGATGATTAAGGCCCTCATATTCGGTTTGCTTTATTTCAGCAAAATCTCTGTTGCCATCCGTGCACACAGACAGTTGGGGCAGGAAGATCTGATGTCCTTCCAGCATCACTGCTTTCCGTGTGGAAGGGTGCAGGGTTTAGGATACCTTACCTAGAAGTTCTTGCAGCTTAGGGCCCCCTGCTTTGTGAACCTGTCATGTTGGCCCGGCGAGGAATTCCCACCTCCGCTATCTGCTGATTGCCGGGACTTTCGTCGCCTACGGCTGGGCCTCGGAATCTTGGCACATCTCAGGAGTACTGGGGAGTAACCAGAGCACATGCATGTACTTGTACGAGGAAGATGACTCTTAAGCAATTTAGATGGATACACGTGCCTTGGAGGAAGGTGCCTTGGTTGCTATAGGGCTCCAGGTAGGGCTTGCAGAGTCCCACGGGTTCAGCATACTGCCTGCAAGGCTGGGGTTTTGGTTACGCCACCGAATGAGTCGGAAAAGTGTTTCTTCGATCTCTTGCAAGCACTATCATGCGCACATCGAAAAAATTTCGAAGGACCCTAATACTCTAAACCCTACACTCTCAGTGCAGTGGCCTGCGCTTCCATTCGAACTTCGTAATTTGAAGCTGAGCTGAGCCCCGGAACAACGCTGATTACAACGACCCCGATGGCATTTGCCGTTTTTGATGGAATCTCGACGACTGCCTCTGCACTGCTACAACAACAACGGGCACCACCTCAGCCACCGCCACCACGAATTCTTAGTCTAAGCCCGGCGGCTGCTCGTGTGGCTCGTTCCACGAAGCGATCGTTTCTCACTTCGAATGGACAGACGACGAGTGCTGCAAATGAGCCAGTACGAGTTGTGCTATGATTCCTGCGCTCGGTTTTGAGAACGCTACACCCTCAAACCTGAACTTTGTTCCCCGGATGCGTATTTACGTGTTCAAGATGCCGAAACCCGGCCTTACAGTGTTCAGGGCTCCTGTCGTCGATCTTTTGCCAGGATCGTATGATGGGATGGGTGCGCACCTTTCTGATGCCTGGCTTTGAAGCTAGCTTCCTGGAAGGGTTTTGCAAAGGCGGTTGACAGAGTTTGTGTGCTTGGGGTTCCAGGTATGCCCTTTGTTAGTTTTTTTTGCTGTTCTTCTGAAGCATGAACAATAGGAAGAGTGAAATCCCGTGACTGCTAGGGGGGAGCCGAATTAGCATCGAGTTTTGCCTAAACCCTAAACCCTAAACCCTAAAGGGCCTTCAGGTATGAGCCACCGTAATTCACAACAGTCGCTTGACACAGACCCGCAAGAACAACTCCGGATCCTCAGACCCCACCCGAGAGTCAACAACTCTCACGGCGTGCCGCAAATTTCAGGGAAGCCGGCCCTGTCGCCGGGAAGTGCTTGCAGAGGAACCCATGGGCAGCCTGCATCATGAGATACAAAGTAACCAACTTAACCTGAAACCTAGAACCCTACTTGGAGGATCATGGGACTTAGTAAGTACGGTTATAAGTACCCTAATTGGGGCTATAAGTGATACGTATAGTTACCTTATTTAGAACCCTAGTTAGTAAGTCCCATGACCCTTTAAGTAGAGCCCTCAACCCAGGGAGTCTTACACAATTCAACGTGAAACCCCGGAACCCTTGCACGTTCGTTGCGAACCTTCTTCTGCGTCATGAGCTCTGTAGGTGGCTTCCCTGCAGGCACTATAGAACCTATAGAAGCCTGCAGAGTTACCAACATGATTTTTTGGGGTTCCTTGTTTTGATATACATTAGACTAGAATGTACCCCCCCAAAAATCCTGTTCTAAGTATATCAGGCCCCTAGATTCGGCCCCAGCCACTTTCTATCAGTTGCCTGGTCCCGAATGTAGGCTTGAACCTCGATACCTTAGACTACCCACAATCCCCCTAGTAGTTTCTTTTTGGTATTACCTTTTAGGGTTCTACATATGAACCCCCCAAACGGAACACGGGGCCTATGGGTAAGCCCAGACCCTTGAGCTTCGAACCAGGCAGGGACCCTAACAGCCCTAAGCCAAAAGCTGATTCTCTGGAGATTAAATAGCAACTAGCAGCGTCTAACAACAAGGCAACTCTACAGCCCTAAAGCCTAAACCTCTAAACCCCTAAACTCCTACACCCCTAAACCCTATAAGCCCTTACATCCTATGAACCCCTAAACCCTTAAACCCCTAAACCTCTACATGACCGTAATCTGAGGAAGGAGGCCCCCGAGGAAGCTCCTTGCCGACGTGCGCGCATCAGTGCCGTGCTGCTGCTCATCGGGGTCGCTCGGACTAATTAACATTTACCTATACAATTCGGAGGTTCCTTATTATTGTTATAATTACAGTATAATCTGCCCCCAGAACCCTATTCTAATCATCCAGGGCCTATATTATCCGAAGTTCGGTTTTGCTCGTGTTTAGGGCCTGGGGCAAGTATTGTTTTGGGATTCCGAGAATGCTGTACCACCCACCCCCCCTTTCTCCAACCCCGCACAAAAATGCAAACATCCTAAACCTTGTCCAGGTCTTCGGCCTCTATGGCGTCGTCTACCTCCTCGCAGCCGCCGGTGCTATGGACTTCTCGACCGAGATGCTTTGCTACACTCTCATGGGCCTCTTGGCCGTTCTTCGAGGGTTTTAGGGTTGCGGCTTTGGGGGATGTAGGGCTTTAGGGTTTTAATGTTTTAGGGTTTGGGGTTTTCGGGCCTCTTGTGGAGCTCAGGGTTCAAAGCAAGGAAGATCTTCTCTTGCTCTGGTGAAATGACCGACTAGGTGTAACTACTTGTAACATGTCGTATCATCATAACCAAGAGGGTCTATATACACTACTATTATGGAATTAGGTACCGCAAACCAGAATTGGGATGGTCTTTTGCGGCCTTATTCCATGGTGGTAGTATATATGGACCCTCTGGGTAAGTAGTCATGCCTGTGGTAAAGGTCGCCGCTTCTCTGCTTAGCAGGCGTATGGCATGTGGGTTTACAGCTGCAGCTATGAGGCAGGTTATCTTAAGCCCTACCTAGACTGACCAATGTAGTTCCCTTGTTCATTAAACCAGGGAATTACTTTTTATGGGTTTGGGAATTCTATCTTAAACCCCTAAACTCTGCACCTAAGCCTTCAACCCGAAGTCAGTGGGTGTGAGAGCAAAGACAGGTATGGGCTGCAAGCGCTAAACCCTAAACCACTCCCTCAACCAAGCTTGTTTTCTTGACTCTAACCGCTATAAAGGGAAAAGGGGTCCCTAAACCCTCAACCCCTAAACCATAAACTTACCTTTGCTTAGTCTAGGTAGGGAATGGAGGGATGGGGTACACTGATAACTACTATTACTACCATTCTTCCATTCCCTACTAACCAAAGGTAAGTAAACCCACAACGCTGAGACCCTCGCCTTAAACCCGGGAAAGCAATGAGAGGCATGGGCTGCAAGATGACTCTGAGCATACTCTTCGCCTCCATCCGGTCCTACCAGAACCACCAGGTCGGAATCGGAGCTCTTGGGGTTTAGGGGTTTAGGGTTTGGGGGTTTAGGGGTTGAGTGGGTTTGGGGTTTCGGATTTAGGGATTTCGGGTTTAGGGTTGCCCTGACTGCTTTCGTTGGGTTCGGGGTATTCAGGGCGGGTCATGGGATAACAACTAAACTTCAAGCTTTTGGCACAAGTAGAGCTTTGTTGCTGGAACTTAGGGTCCATCCAAGCAGTATCCTACTACTTCTGGGCCTATACATGGGTGCCTGATTTTCTTGAACTCTTACACACTCGTCGATGGACGACCGTCGTGCAGCAAAATCCCGCAAAGGGACCGTGTAGACACACTAAGCCCGACCCTAATCATCATGTGTTCAGGGCTCCTTAATATGATGTCCTTCTTCCTTGGAGGGTGGGCGGACTTAGCAAGTTACTTATAAGTCTACGTATTACCTACTTACCAGGTCCCCTGACCCTTCATGTAAGGCAGGGACAACCCTAAAACCCGAAACCCTAAACCCTAAAAGCCCTAGACCCTAAAAGCCCTAAACCCTACAAACCCTAAGCCTTAAAAGCCCTAAACCCTAAAAGCCCTAAACCCTAAACCCTAAAAGCCCTGAACCCTACAAACCCTTAAACCTTAAAGACCCTTAAACCCTAAAAACCCTGAACCCAGAGCCAGGCGCTGGCACGACTGGTCTTCAAGGTTCGTGGCAGCAGCGTCGCCTTTGTGTCGTTGCTTCCTGGCCGTTCTTCTGGTTGGGGTTTTAGAATTAAGGATTGAGGGTTTAGGGTTTACGGGTTTCGGGTTTTAGGGCTTTTAGGGTTTAGGGTTGGGACTTTGTATTCAGGCGATTGCACAAGTCCTGACGCAAAAAGGGTTGGGACTTTCGCTTTTTGGGTTTCTATATGAACATACATAAGGAGACTAAAAGTTAGCCAAGGCTTCGCGGCACCTTCGACCACGTCGTGCCGTGCACTGTTCAGAGCATCTCGGCTGCTCATAAATGCCGCTCATAAGCCACAGAACGGGGTTTCCGGGACGAGTACAGCAGAAGATTAATTAGTTGGACACTCCTATCACCTATCTGTACCACAGAAAGACATATCATGAAGTACTGAGGCCCCATTGTGCATTGAAGGTATTGCCTCCGTCAGGACAGACGCTGACCAGGGTCCTAGGCTTACTCCTTGATCGCCCAGAGTCTCAGGAACTGAATCCTAAGTCGTAAACCCCTACACCCGAAGCCCCTGAACCCTAAACCTTAAACCCCAAACTCTAAGTCCTGGAAGCCCTACAGTCCGAAAGGGTCTAAACCGTCACGCCCTTCAGCCGTCAACCGTACAAATTGCTCTCGGATGTTCTTTTGGCGTATGTTTTAAGCGCTGGCTCTGGAGTCGTGGATCAAGGAACCCGAGACATCAGAACACAATACGCAGCTTATCGGTGGATGTAGGTTAAGTTTACTAGGACCCAGAGTAGGCCCTTATTCTCTTTTTTGAGGCTTAGGTTCCCTTATAAACCCCTTTAAACCAAAAAGGGGCACCCTTTTTATTCCTAGGTTACTCTTAGGTCTAGTTAGGGTTGTGGGCCAGTTCAGGGGTTTGCCAGTGGGCCCTCCACACCTGGACACAGAACTGAAGTTGCCACAAACTTTGCATGAACTCCTGGGTCCAAGGGCCTAATCATCGTATATGGTTTATAGGGTTTGGGGGTTTAGGGTTTAGGGGTTAAGGGTTTAGAAGCTTAGAGGAACCTTGAACGGAATCCTGTCGCTGGCCCTTCTAGGAATCCTTTTCAGAAGCCCTTCGAGCCCCGAAACGGGTGTTAAAGGACCCCGTAAAGGAACTCTTGAAGGAACCCTCAAACAGAGCCCCTCCAAGCAAGCCTTAAAAGAGCCCTTAATTAAAGACCCTTATGGTACCCTTATAAGGAGCCCCTAAGGAAATCCTTGAGGAAGCATTTCCAAACCCTGATTCTTAAGCATAAACCGAAAAACTTTAAACCTTAGCCCCTAAACCCCTTAAACCCCTCAACCTTAAACCCACACCCTAAACCCTACCCCATACTCAAACGAAGCAGCCCTCTAAGCCTTTAGGGTAAGCCTTCAAGGAAGACCCCTCAAAAGCCCTAAACCCTAAAGTACTAAATCCGAGGCACTCCCTAAAGCCCTAAACCCTAAACCCTACACCCTTACTTGGAGGATCATGGGACTGAGCAAGTAGGGTTATAACTAGGGTAACTATACCTATAATCACTTATAACCCCCATTAGGTACTACTTATAACCGTACATACTAAGTCCCATGATCCTCCAAGTATACTAAGTCCCATGATCCTTCAAGTAAGGCTTCATTTGGACCCTCTCCCCCTAAACCCTAAACCCTAAACCCTAAACCCTAAAGGGGTTTCTTCCGAGGTAACGGGGTATGTAAACTCCCGGCCCGACGTAGCCGGGATCTCCTGGAGCTCGAACATCTGCTGGGCCAGGACCCTACCTTCCCTAGGAGTCCATGTACCCAAAATAGGGATCCTTTAGGGGTCCAAGTGCCCAAAATAGGGATCCTTTAAGGGTTCCTTCAAGAGATACGAGAGGGGTTCTAACTATAAGGGCTCTACAGTCCATGTACCCAACTAGTCTTGACTTTGGCCCTAAAGTACGTATGTAGGGGGCTCGCAGGGTTTCATAGGGTTTTAAAGGGTTTGCTACTGTAATGTAGGAGCCTAGCCAAGTAAGTACCAATACTATTTTGGGGTTCCTTATCATAGTTCCAGTATACTATACCCCAAAACCCTTTTCAAATTATCAAGGCCTCTGTATTATAGGCTTTATGGGGCTCGTAGGGTTTCATAAGGGTTTGGGCTTGAGGGTGTGTTTAGTAGGGTTTGGTTTATCGGGTTTAAACGGTTTTAAGAGGGGTTTCATTGGGTTTCGTGCACAGGGTTGTAAGGGTTGGGGGCCTAAGGAAGTTGTATCGTTCAGGGCTTCAGAGTCTTGGGGTATAAGGCTTGTAGAGTTTGTTGGGCGGAGGGTTTAGGGTCTAGAGTTTGGGGTACACAGACCCTGGATGGTAGGGATATGTAAAGCTTGATGTTGCAAGGGGTTCTACCGTGTAGAAGTTCTACAGGGTGTCATAGGCGTTTCCCAAGTGTCCTTACCTTGGCCTTGGAGGATACTGTTTGTTTCGGCTACCATGTTTCCGTTTTTTCGATTGCATGCCAGCAAGTAAAGTAGATAGCCCCACAGAATCCCTAAGGGTGCATGTGCCCAACTAGTATGTACCTTGGCCCAAAGTATCTATGATAGGAACCGTTTCAAGGCCAAAGTGCATACTATTTGGGCACATGGACACTTAGGGAATGCTGCAATCCAGGGTCTGGGGGGAGGATAGATCGAGCCCGAAGCCCGCAAACCTTAAAGTGTGAAGCCTCGCCCCAAAGCCGTAGAAATCAACCCTGAACTACCCCAAAAATCCTAAACCTTGAGCCGTAAACCCCAAACTGCTAAGCTTCCAGGCTAGGACTTTTAGTTCAGAGTTCGAGTTTGAATGAAATATCAGGAATAACCTACAACGGTTTAGGGGTTTGGGGTTCAGGCCAAGCTCGAACGAAACCGTAAGCAGTTCGGGTTTGGGGCCAAAGCAGCGTGAAGAGCGATTCAGGTCGGCCACTGGCCGCCGCCAGCTTCAACGACCAGCTTGCGGGCGGCCGGGAGCGTGAGCGTTCCATGGCAGCTTTAAGTTTCGTCGTAAGTACTTGGACCCCAAAAATAAAAGTATGTAGAACAATAGCCTTTTATAGGTGTCGGGCCATCCTGGTTACTTGTTTTTGGGGTTAGGGTAATGATAAGTTGTGTCTTACCAACTTCCTCGATCATCCAAGAGGATTCGGGACTTCGGGTGACAGCTCAAGGTTGAGGTTTCAGAGCTTTCCTTTGAGCTCCAGCGCTTGGGGGTATTGGGGTTACAGGGTTTGGGGCAGTTAAGGGTGTTGGGACTTACGCTGAAGGGCAGATACGGGTTTCGGGGTGGAGAACCCGTAGCCTGCCTGTTAATGTAGGAACCTGATCAAGAAACCTTGGGCCTTTATTGGGGTTCCTTACATGAATCCTACTATTGTGGGGTAATGGGGTCAGGGTTTCTTAATCAGGTTCCTACATGAACATGGAGTTGTAACTTACTTACTATACGCCCTAGCCCTAGCATCGAAGTTGTCGGGGCCCTGACAAAAAGCTTTTGGTAGCTCCAGGGCTCAAGGTGAACTCAACGGCTCTGAAATCCAACTCAGACCCTAAACACTGAAGCCGGTGAAGTCATAGTCCCAATGCAATTCCTGGGTTCTTGTTATGGGATTTACTTGAGGTTACGATAATACGGAAATCGTAGAATTCACTGTAGATCCCTATTAGTACGTTAAATGAAACCCCTTAATAAAACAAGAACCCAGTTTCACTGGAACCCCAAACCCCCAAACCCCAAACCATTCAACCCTAACTTTAAACCTTAACCCGATAAGCCCTAACCCTAAGGGTCCATGTACTCATATAGTATATACATTGGCCTTAATGTAGGCCCTATATAGGTACTTTGGGGCCCATGTATCTCTATATGTGTACATGGACTCTCAGGGTAATCCCAACCCTTAAACCGTACCCCAAACCCTTCAACCCTACAAACCCTTCAACCTTAAACACTTAAAACCTTAACCCGATAAGCCTCGGGGGATAAGTAGTTATTTTAGAGACTTATACGTACCATAACCCCAATTAGGGTCCCTTTTAAGGCACTTATAAGTCTACTTACAACCTACTTACTAAGTCCCCCGACCCTCCAAGTAATCCCAGTGCAGCTCAGGCTTCGGCGCGTATGTGCAGAACGCCTTGCGCCAGCACGGTCCTCGGCGCTGAGTCGGGAGGTTTGAAAATTTAGGGTCAAGGGTGTAGGGTTCTAAAGAGTTTAGGGTTCAAAGGTTAAAGGGTTTCGGGTTCAAGGGCTACGGATTTTAGGGGTTTTGGGTGTAAGGTTCTTTCAAAAATAGTCGCTGGCATCTAAGCCTACTCGGAAGTTCTCTCAACCCAAAAGCCGAGACCCTAAGTCCCTGAACCCTAATTACACACAAAGCTCTGAGAGCTTGTATCCTCAGCCACAACTCCCGAAGCCCTAAGCTCTGCGAGCGGCAAGCATGGGCATGATCCTCCAAGACTCTATAAGCCCTAAAGCTTACTTGGAGGATCGGGGGACTTAGTAAATAAGGTTATAAGTATTTCAATCTGGGTTATGTGTAAGTATAAATATAGTTACCTAAATTATTATCCCAGTTACTAAGTCCCATGACCCTTTAAGTAAGGTCATGAACCCTAAGTCCTAAATCCTGTTCTCAGGCATGCGGATCTTCTGAAAGCCGGGGAGAAACTGGGACTGGTCTCTTGGCTCGAAAGGGTTTACGGCTGTCTACATCCTCAGCAGTCTTTTCCACGAGGGCGCCCAAATCTGTACTATAGATATACATGTGTATATATATATATATACACACACGCACATGCAGACATACACACGCACACGGGTTCGTGTGAGTATACATATCTGTACATGTATATCTAGACCCGATACTCATATGTATATGTAGAGCTAGATTTAGTGGTAGAGCCACTCTTGGCCTACTTGGTTGTGCCTACAAACTAAGTTCGTGGGTTTGTTTGAGCATGTCATTCGCGAAGAATCCTACCGCGTAAGCAGGGTTTAGGGTTTGAGGAACGCGAGGCCCACAAGAATCACTCTAATGCTAAGCCTTCCACCCCACAACCTTGTTCCCGAATTGCGAATACATGTACCCAAATACCCTAATCCCGTAAACCCTACCTATTATCCGGACACAGAAAGTTACGGACACGGATAGTTACAACGCGAGACAATCTGAGACCAACGGCAGCATATTAATTCTGAGGTCTGATTACATTACAGGAATGCCCCGATCTCATTGTTCATCATCGTTTCTAAACGCCCGTACACCCCTTACAGAAACATTTAATTTTAGCTAGCCTGGCAGAAAGAAACCCCGGAATCCCTTTAAATCCCAAGCGCCAATCCCTAAACCTTAAACCCGTAAGCCCCCTATGCAAACCCTGATCCCTGATAGATCCTTTGAAGGAACTCTTATAGAACCCTTATACATCCCTTTGAAGGAACTCAAATCCTTCAGCTTCTGCTCGGGGCAGGTCCCAGACTCATCGCTGCCACCTGTTGCCCAAGCACTGCACGTGCGCCTGCGAAGGACGGGGTGGAGGGACGGGGCTTTGCTCTGGATTCAGGAGTTTGGGGTTTCAGCGTCTGTAGGAGGTGCGGGGTTTCGGTTTAGTGTTTAGTGTTTAGGCTGGCTGGTCTTGTTGTCATCAATTTCTGGTTTTCGGTGTAGGGTCGTTTGGTTTAGTGTCTTCTTGTCATAGTGTCTTCTTGTCATCAATTTCTCAGGGTTTCGGGTGTAGGGTCGTAGGGTTTAGTGTTTAGGCCAGATGTCCCTACAGCACCAAGTGCAACAACTGATATCCTAAACCCAGGTGCTTGATTCCTTGGCCCTTAGTGTTCCGTTGGAACTACCATATCGAAATATTCCGTCCTTTTGGATCACAACCAAGCCTTTACATTGGAACCCTTCTATAGCCTTTAAAGGCTTTCGCATTAAACCATGCAGCCCCGTAGCGAGCCTGCGAGGACATCTGAGCTGCCAGAGGAGGGCCTTGCACACGAGACTTTGCGGGTTTTGGCCTCGGTTTGCGGTTCAGGGTTTTGGGTTTTGTCTGGACCTTAAATCATTTTGGCTTGTTGCCTCGGTTACCCATTGCAGCATCCTGGCCGGAAAATGGTCATACCTGGAAAACGTACTTCTAGGTAGATCACGGAGTGGTTCAGATAGTATCACTTAAGCCATTGTAAGGTAGGCTTAATGTCACGATCTTGGGCGAGTGCATACGGAGGCACAGACGGCTCTTTGGGAATATTGGCGAGGTTAACTATGTTTCGAGTTGTAGCATTGATTAGCATTGTGGTAGCAGAAATAACTGCTAGATTCAGATATCAGAAATAGGTACTACATGTCAGGAAGCACGACGACAGTACTGAAGTCGAAGGCAACCTGTACAAGCCTTAGTGGCATGAGTTCTAACAAGTTGTTGTGCTTTGCTTTATTCATTTCTGCTCCAAAAGATCGTAGTCGCAATGCAAGTCCTTGTGTTTTGGTCTTTGGGTTGACCACGGAACGGCACTTTGGTGTACCTGGGACCTCCGACAGTCCTCCAGAAGGGTCCTTTTGTTTGTTTCGGGCTTGCCAGGCTAATGTCATTGAGATTCAGGGGTAGTGCTGAAGCGTTGACTGTATCCAACCCTGAACCCTCCTAAACCCCTAAGCCTGGACCCTATAAGTTTAACACCGAAACGTATTTATGTCCGAAGTGTTTGGATTTTAGAGGGCTTGCAGGACCTAATGTCAGGAATTACGGGGCTTATCGGAGTTAATGTGTCTAAAGTTGATTGCGGGTACGAGGGTATGAGTATCGATCCTGCACATCTTGAAAGCATTGAACTGTCTATTGCGTTTAGTTGCTTGAGCCTTATAGGGTTACGGGTTGAGGGCTTAATTTCGGCGCACCCGAGCAGGTTAGTCTCTTAATTGCTCTCTAAGGTAGACAATATAGAAGCTGGAATACACGCAAGTATGTAAGTCATGTGGTCAGTTTTCCTCCCCTGCAGTCCCTAAGTAATCGCAGGACAGCACACCCAAAACCCCATCGAACAGTCTGTCAGAGTGTTTTCCTAATCCTTCCTAAAGGTTTGGCCCAAAGCTGCCGACACCTTGCAGACACAGATCAGAAATCGGAGATCACGTGCGCAAGAGCAGGATTAACAAACATCGGAGAAGATTCTACATGATATACAGGTCTGAAGTACATATCAACGGCAAGATTAGTATCCCCTTGTAGCCCTGTACACTTCTGCTATAACGTCTAATTACTCTAACCTGCTCCTTTGCCCGATTCTACTTATTCAGGCCGCGACACTATGCCAGCCAGCCTAGTCACCGATCCTACCATGTTCCAACCTCCCCCCCCTCCACGGTTTAGGGTTTAGGGTTTAGGGGTTTAGGGTTTAGGGTTTAGGGTTTAGGGTTTAGGGTTTAGGGGTTAGGGGTTAGGGTTTAGGGTTTAGGGGTTTAGGGTTTAGGGTTTAGGGTTGCCCATGATCAGATCCTAGACCCGTAAACCACGAACTCCACACTGCAGAGCAGTGTGGAAATGCACCTTATTAGTTGGAGGATCATGGGACTTAGTAAGTAAGGTTATAAGTACCTCAATTGGGGTTATAAGTATATAGTTAATATAAGTATAGTAACCTGAGATATAACCCTAGTTACTAAGTCCCATGACCCTTTAAGTAGTTAAGCCCTTCGACCCTTGAAAGCCCTCAACCCTTACACTCGGCGATATGGATGGCAGCCCTATCACTCGGCGCTTTCTCGTGCCCGTCGTCGCTGCTGCAGCCCACTGGCAGCTTGTATGAAAAGCCTGTAAATGGGTTTAGGGTGGGAACTTTTGAAACCTCAGATCAGAGTGCTTATCCCCGAAACGCTGAAACCCCTAAATCCGTATACAGCCCTATCGTCCCAGAGCCCTGAAAAACCCTAAACCCCAATAGCCTCCCCGAAAGCTTTAACACTCAGCCCTAAAGCCCCACAGCCCTGAACTTGAAGAGGTATGTAGCGGTGAGCCCAACTGCCGTCACGCCTCCGCCCTCGCCGGAGCCCCCGGAGGTTGGACGGTTTCGGGGTTTCATTCGTACGCATTGGAAAAATGAATCCAACAGGGTCGTTTGGAATAGTATGTCTTTACCAATCCTGCGAAAAAAAAACGTTCCCAAAATTGGGAGTGGCGGTTTTTGGATTTCAGGTCGGGGGGGTGATGATTTTGGCATTTGGGGTTTGGATCGCGGGATTTGAATTAGGTTGTTAGGTGTAGGCTTGGGGGTTGTTGGGGTTTGGGGTGTAGGGGTTTAGGAGACGGGTTCTACGGTCTACGGCTTCCGGGTGAATAAATTATCGTTATTAGTTTTAATTATTTTGTTTTTTTGGTATTGGTGATTGCTTCTTGCTATTATCCTTATTTGTTTATGGCTATTGTTATTATTGTTGGTTTTAGTATAATAGTGGCATTACCATGATTGACTATTACTACTACTGTAAGTGTTGTTCTTTCCATTACAAACAAGCACGTTCATTAATTATGGTTGCTCTCATTGTTATTGTTATGATTTTTGTGACTCAAGTTCTTATCACTATTGCTATATTCTAACTTTGTTATCATGAACCTTGTTTTTTTAATGAATAGCTGTAATTCTTCTTTTTGGCACTTGGGTTTAGGCGTTGCTTGCCTGGGACTGCAGGGTTCACATCGCGACCAACCCGTAGACTCCCAAACTCTTCGATCAAGACATGTTTGGTAATTCCATACTAGTGCTGATGGACAAAATCCTGCATGACCTTAAGGACCCTAAACTATGGGAATTATGGTATATTCCTTATAATGGGTAATGCAGGATTTTGTCCATCAACAGTAGTAAGGATCCCTCCCTGAAATGCTGAAGATGTGTCGCTTAATTTCGGTTCTCTGGGTGTTGATAGTCGATTCGAACTGTAAGGCTTGAGGCTCAGGTTCTGAGATTGGGGGTTAGCCTTTTCAGCTTCGTCGGGCATGCAGGGTAGGGGCTGAACTAAGGAATTGCAGGGCCCAAGAGATGCTGAGAGATGGCGGCAACATAGGCTGTAGGAGACTTACTAACACCCAAAAAACGCAAGAAGACCTGAATCTCTAAAACCACAAACCTCAACCCAACTACAACCTAAATCCTGCAAGCCTAAAACCTTTGCGGCGCTTGCCAACATTTCTCGCCTGCATCGTCTTTGTGCACAGGACGACTGGTCGCTGCCGCGCGTCGACGTCGATGCGATCTGGAACGAGTTCCTTCTGAAGGCAGCTGCGAGCTGGGGTTCAGGGTTTAAGGTTGAGGGCTCAGTAGTATAGAGGTCGGAAAATTTCGTAGTACTGTTTCTCAGGATCCTTCACACATTACGTCTTTTATTTTTATAAGTGGTTTAATGTAGCCGTAACTTTTCACACCCAAACCCTTTTGAAGTCATGCACTGCCCTGCCTCTTCCTGACTGGATGCGGATGTCTAGTGTCTTAAGGGTTATGATGGGATCAAGACCAGTAGCTCACTCGAGGTTTTTGCAGGTCTTTGACCGAAAGTTACTTCTAAGCCAGCTTTCCCCGTGAAGCTTGACTTGGAGGCTGAGAACAGAAGAACTGCCTACGACCGATGGGGCACACGCTTGCTGCTTTTGCCGCACCCCGGCCCGATTGCACAGCTTCGGGCTTGGACTTAGATGTTGGCGCTTCAAATGCATGCATGCTTGGATGCATGTATGGAGGGTGTATGCTCGTGAGAGCATGTGTATGTACGCAAGTCTGTAAGTAAACAAGTCAGTATGTATGCATGTATGTTTTCATACTGGTGTATGCATCTCTCTCTCTCTCTCTCTCTCTCTCTCTCTCTCTCTCTATGTGTGTATATATGTACATATATAACATGTAATGCCGTGTGAATACACATATACACACTTATATGCACACAGATTTGTTTGTGAGACTACAACATACTTACCATATATAATGATATGCAACAATATATACGTATACATATATATATATATATGTATATATATGTATACATTATACGTATTGCAATATAATATAATATAATATAGCACAGTGTAATACCAACATATCATAGATGTGCATATGTGTGTGTATACACATGTTTATGTAAGTATATGTGTGTACTGTACATTTGTATAAAGATATACACACATACACGCAAGCATACAAGCAAACATGAAACACATACATACCTACGTACATACGTAATTACATAGATACGTACATACACAGATACATATATGTGTATACACACATACATATATACCTACATACACGCATACATACATACATAAATCTGTACACATATACACACATGTACACGCATGTACATGTAGAGTGATTCCGCCAATACCTGTGCACGGAGAATACTTGCCACAGATGACCGGAGAGAGTAACACAAGGTTAAGCTCAGCCTTTGTTCAAGTGGGTTTGAACTTGTCCCATGTGTGTTCATACAAAGGCTAAGACATGCACATGCCTTTGCACAGATTCGACATGGATGTACATGATATACATATATAGCAATACACATGCAAAAGATGCATTGTTAGGTCATAGCTTGAGAAACTGCCATGTGTTAACCGAAGCACAAGCCATGATGGATACAATACTGAGAATATGCATGGCCAATAACATATGAGATATATGAAGTAAACACCCTTCTCGCAACCTTTCAGGATGTACGCCTTTCCGGTGATTGTGGCAGCAACTTTCTGCAGAGCACGCCTTCGAAGAGCCGCGCGCTGGCCACCCTGCCAACATGTTTTGCTGTGCATTCAGAGTCCCGCTTTTTGTAGTTCCTGAACTCCATCGATAAGTCTGCGGATCTAAACTCAAAGGCTTTAGTTCTTTATGTCCGAAACCACAATAACCGGCATGTTCAAGAGTTGAAGACCTTGGGTGTTCTGCTGGTTTGAGAATCTACAGGTTGAGTTTCGAGCACGAGAACTCCGAGGGGAGGGTTTCTTCCCGATTGTTTCACATATTCAA